TGTAGGGAAGGGCTCCGGACATTTCGACCACCTGGACTTCTTTGACGTGTACCTATATACTAAGTACACGGGCTTCAAACATTGTCGTTTCTATTGAAAATGCTGCCTCCGCAACGAGGATTTGATCTCGCGACCTTCGGGCACGGAGAAAGAAGTCCTCCGGGTCACCAGTCGGGTGCCTTAACCACTAGACCATCGCAGCAGAAAAGTCTTTTGAGATCAGAGGTATGGAGCGAATGGGCATGTTAATGCCCTTACGACTTCCATTGGTCCATGGAAATCTGTGTTTAGATAGAAAAGTGACTGACGCACTTTACTGATTCCACGGTCTATTGACATGACAGTCTTGGAATCATGCCATGCAGCAGCTCCACTTTGACCATTCAGGCAATCGACTTTCATTTGGAAGGTCTTATAAACGCCTGTTTGACACGGATCTACAATGCTGTGTTTACAGCAGTCCAGTCCTGTCTGCATTGGCTTAACAATTGCTTCAGACATGAAAAAAGCTACGCACTCTAGAATGAGAGAGACGTGACCACACGTTTGGGAAAAGACGATGACTATATATCGTTGAAAAGTTCGAGACATGAACTAAGTGAATTAGATACGCAAGGCTCTACGTCCTCAAACCACTATGTTATTACGGCCGCGCCTATAGAGCCCGCAACCGGCATATAATTCCGGAAAACAAGTTGCCGCCAGTTTTTCCTTATTGGCTGACCATGATCATGTGACTTGTCTGCCGGCACATTTCTGGTGAGCCTGTCTTGCCGGCTTGCTGTATATTTAGCTTTAAGCCGTGATTTAGCTAATTTTGCTCTCCGGCACTTCGCAACACTGATCACTGTTGTCAAGGGTAGTCAAGGACCTGAGGTACCCTAACTTACCTAACCTAGCCTAGACTAACCTTACGCGCCCTACAGGCATTTTTCAGGCAGTATGCGGCCATCTAGCAGTGCCCCTTGTTTCAAGTGTGCTTCATGTTGTGAGAAGAGTATCTCTGGGGTGGCAATATCATGCCTACATCGAGGTATTCCTCTAGCCTGGGCATCTTCTCGCCGTTCGGCAGCACCAGACCAGCCTCGGAACACTCCCGTGAGAACGTCACTTGATACCCTTATATAGGAAATAACTGCCGGCACCCTGTCGGTCGATATACTCTACCGGCTGCCGGCAATATAGACGCTACCTAATTTTACGTGGAATGTCATAGCGGAGTGTTCCAAAAATGTCGACTATCTCTCGTTCTTAATCCTGCACTGACATAGAACAGTACACGGGGGCATGAACTAAATAGATGATTAAGAGACGAGTATATCGACGATGAAACTTACAGTCCCGGAATTCCACTCGCTGAAGAAAGGTAGTCCCGAGTCAATTGCATGCTTGCTTCCCTTACGGACCAGCTCTTTCTTCTTGTCCTGAATCTATGTCTCTTACCCACTATGAAAATGGCCTAGAATGAGACCGTATGGATGAGCAAAAGAAAAAAAAAGAAGTCAAGAAGTGTGAACTTCATAGTAAAATTAAAATAGCAAGCTTTTCTTGAGTGTAATTTAACATGCCTTCTTTCATTTTGCAAATAATTTTCCCGCACTTACCTTTAAATTGCACTTACCTTCATTTTTTCTCAAAGAAGAAGGCATTTAAATATATTATCGCGGAACTTATAGAAGGATGGCTTGTGTAAACAAACTAGTGAGCCAGTCACAGCCACCCCTCTTCAATAAAAAAGAATGACCACGTTGTTATTACTATAACCTGAAATCAGGAAACCGGGCAAGGCATTTGCCTGCAAGTACCCGCCCCGGAAGTCTAGTGGTTAAGTTACTCGTATGCAGACCTGCACGTCATGGAATCGAATTCCGGCCGTGGTGGTCGCCTCTTCAAAGAAGGCAGAAATTCCTTACTCGTGTATTTATGTGCAATTCAAAGCACGCCAAATGTGGAAATATTCATAGCTCTCACATATAGGCTCTCTCCTAATAATACCGCTGTTGTGGGACGTTCAACCCAAATAATAGTTATTGTTAATGTTGTTTCTTTGCGTATCTCACATAGCCACATTCATCTGCTATATCTAAAACACTAAGTAAACGTGCTCTGATCTCTTCAACGTTCAGCGCACTTTGTAAGCGTGGATCTAAAAGTGTAGTACAAATACGAGGAATACTTGAAGACAAACAAAAGAGGAGCGCTTTTAAAGTAGAACCAAAATAATATATACGGTACCAGAAGCACCATGCTTGCGAAGAGAAGCCACTTGGATTATGTTGGAACTGCGAAAGGAAACTACACGGTAATTCACGCTACCTCAAAGTTGGCAGACCAGTAGCCGTGAGGTTAGATTTTGATCGCGTGCACCTACATCATTAAAAATCAGCAATAGATTGCATTGTTTTGTTAGGGAGCAAGACACATATCTAGCTTCAAGAAATTTTGCATAGTGAATGTGGTGAAAGTACAAAACAAACTGGCGCCAAGTTTAAAAGGGAAACTATTAAAAAACAATTCTCTTATGTAGGAAATATTTTTGGTAGTGAAATTTTTGACACTAGAGGGTCAGATGGTATATTAACAGTAAACTAATGCATCGTATCAGTGAAGTGTTCTTTTGAAAGTTCAATGTGTGTAGAATATTGTAAATGATGTCCTAAAGGTAGGTCAGAAGTCGAGTTGGTGCATATAAACACAAATAGAATACCTGCGCTGCTTCAGCACACACGTATAAATCAGACACACATACAGACGCAGGCTTGAAACTGACCTTTATCGGACAAAATCCACCTATAGGTGCATTTCGCAGAAACCATCACCGCACATGGGCTTTTCTTTAAGGTATCATCCCAAAAATCTTAGCAATCAGATGACACCACCTTAACAACACTCTTCGAAAGATATGACAACTGTGTTATGCAAAAACACTGATTACTCACTCATACATTTACTTCTCTTCTTCCTAATTTAGTACGCTTCGAAAATTTTCATTGTTATATTATGGCAGCCGTGGCTCAATATCTCGACATCTTTCGGTATCGGCTCACACTTGCACTCGAGCAGTGGATGGGTAGGAGCTAGCTTGTACTGTTTTATACTAAAATTTATGTTAACGTATGCGCATGTTCACACACATCTTGGTATGTCCTACTTAACTCCCTCCACATGACAAGAGAACCCCATACACCACGCCAGCATTTTACTTTGTATATAAATTCGTACGAGTTTTCTCACATCCTTGAACGCTGTTTTCGTGGTCACCTATGTGTGCACAGAGCCCTGCAAGCTTCAACTCCATGCCGCTTTCCAACCTTCTTTAGGTGGTAGGACGTCTTAGGTACAACTAGACATTCATCCTTCTGAAAAAAAATTTAGATTTTGGCCTTGATTTTCTTCATTATTGCCACCGCTACTGCATCTTTCAACTTAACCAACTGCCCTGAAAGGCTTTTCTGCGTAGAATGTAAGCAAGACTTCTTCGATGCTGACTTGACATACTGGGACGCTGTGGCCTGTTTCACTGTCTTTGAATGAATGGAATCATAGGAAAAAAACTCTTTTGGGACCTCAAAATACAGTCCTGGCAAACATAGTCGTCGAAGATTACAGCTATGTCTAAAAATTGAATTCGGTCGTCTTTGTTAGTTCATGAGTGTACGATGACCTTTTGCCATGGTGCTGAAAAAGGTGAACTACATTAGCAAGGGAACAGTCGTAAGCGGAAGTGTCACGCTTTCTTAACCGGACGAGTACACCGTCTACATGATCACACACGCACAAAACCTGGTCGTGGTCAAGCAATTCGTTGACAACCCTGTCAAAACCTGATAAAGTATTGTTTAGCAGAGCGGCAATGTAGAACCCAATGCTGATATCTTGCTTCTTTACGGAGTAACTGTCTGCACACTGTATGAAAGTCCCAAGGCTTGAAACGCTCTTGCCTTTATTTCGCAAGGTCTCCAGTAATTAAAAGCTATTGGTTTCCCGGTCTCGCAAATCATGAAAGATATATTACATGATTGAGAGCAATGTGGTTTGTTGCGTCATAGAAAATCAAAGCTAACAACCGGCAATCAAATTACAAACAGCGCAGGGAGACTACAAAAATCTTGATGCAAATTGGATAAAACAATGGTACAAGTATGGTGGTTGGAACCGCTCATATTCATACACAAAGGTAAGCGAGTTTCGCGCTGATACGTTGTCCTAAATAGACCCCCCCTCCCATAGTTAAGGTTTTGGTCACTGCAAGCAGCGAAACTAGTGTAGAATAATTTTCGCGAGTGACCTTGACCCTCACCCCGAAATTCAATATATAGAAGTCAGGTTTTACTTTAGAACTCAACTTTATCACTCTACAAAAATATTTTAAGTGCTCATTGTTGACCACACACTTTGTTCCAATAACTAAGTGTGGTGTGAGGGCACACAGTTCCTGACGAACAGCCGATTGTTTTGAAAGTATTTACAAAAGGTTTGGTCCCTATACCTTGTAGCCTGAAACCTCTACGAAGAACTTATCTTAATGGCTAGTCTGAGTACAAACATTTTTGCACAGATACAAAAACTGAGTACTCAGACTCACAGCAGCACGTATACGTCTTGGTCATTTGCTAATGTGAAGGTTACATTGTTGTCAAGCCAGCAGGCCAAATTGACGATCCGCCTACATAGGAGCGTAGTGATGGACTGAACATTTTGGTTACTCTGATGGGCACAATACACCAATACCAGCATTCTTTCTTGCATTTGTAACATTGAAAGTCGTCAAGCAAAACTGGACTGACGCCTAAAGTTCGTACACAAGATCACACTACCACTGCTAGCATGAAAAAAGTTTTTACATGCCAAAATGACGATGTGAATCATTTTTACCACTGGAGGCTCTTTTTTTTTTGCCCTTCGATATTCAGATGTCATTTGATTCAAACGAGTGTTTAGCACGGTTTGCACAGTTATAACAAAAGTAAAAACAATGAAAGTATTCTAAATCAAAAATGTGACCAGTAGAAGTCAACTTAAAACTTTATTCGACAACTTCCAAACGCTTACAGTGGGTACGGTAAATGAGCCAACAATCAATACACAAGTCTCACTAAAATGATCTAGGTATACCTGTGTTGCATGCTTACATAAACGCTAGCCTTGTAAAAAATATTGAACACACACAGTAACAGAACTTGGTGCATAAAACAACTTCTAAATAGTGGATTGAAAACTGCTGCTCAGAAAAGAGGAAAATGGGAGAAAAGGGAACATGCCAATCGACAAAACTCGAACGATCGCTGGTTGAAGTGAATTGCCATGAAAAAACCAAATACTTAAAACGTCAATATGTGCATTCAATGCAGGAGTTACACATTCGGCTAAAATGTCAACAAGAAATTGATTTCACAGATAAAAGTAAAACTTCCCGTAAAACACGAAGCTCGCTTCGCGAGCACATACATGCCCTCATTTTCTTGGAACTATTTGTGGATGGAGAAATCAGATGTCCCAGTGCAGGCCGACATGGCAGACGAGAAGCCATGCAGTTGAAAGGGCAGTGGTGAGGACCATCAGCGGGAAACCAATCCTTTGAAGAAAGTAATACAAAAGGTAATGTTATGCATCTGCACGAGTTCAATAATTGTGCATACCATCCTACAGATGTGTTCACTGTGCCAATATAGTGCGAGACAAAAAACAGATGAATAAAAAGCTTTTGAATTTTATTTATTTATTTAATTATCTATTATGAGAGACAGACAGACAGACAGACACAGACAGACAGACAGACAGACAGACAGACAGACAAAGAACTTTATTTGCGAGGTTATTCACAGCTTTGCTTAATACTCAAATTCCGTCAGGGCGATTTTGCCGTCAGGTTGATTCAGTGAAAGCAATGAAAAGGATGGCGACAACTTAGAATGTTGCATAGAGCAAGGCTTTGTCAAAACATCAGTCGATTCCTCAGAACCCTTCCCCCAATGTATGCACAAGGACTACACGCCGTGGCAAAACATGTGGCCATGAACCGCCGCGTGAAAACCTTCAGGATGCCGCTGCAATGTCCCCAGAATGCCCCCTTTAAGGATCCAAGTCGGTGCCGAAATGTCGGGTGTTTACGTGTTTTCACGTACTTTACTCTGGTTGGAGTTCAAAAACTTTTTTGTCGACCTACTCAACTAGACATACTTCCGTCTGATGTTTACATTTAGGCAAGGCTTGTACCTCTCATTTAGCATTCGCGTTGGTGACGTTCAACAGAACATTAGCTTAGGAAAACGCAATGACGATTGAACAACCAAAATGACCCTCATACTGCATGCATAGGTCAATGAACTGACTCATGAGTCGACTCACTCAGACTCAGATTGAGCTGCGAGTCTGAGTCTGCGTGAGTGATAATTTGGTGAGTGAGTCCAGCATTGAAAACTCATCGTGAGTGAGTCTAAGTTACTTCACAGCGAAAGGTACAGTCCTTGAGCGAGTCTGAATAGGTTGCATTTCATTTTACAGACCAATGGCTCTTATTCAGCAGTACTATCGGCGTTACGTGGATTCACGTTTATACTCACGTGCACTCACGTGTATTTCAAAGCACTATGATTAATGCACCTATTCAATATTTATTGATCGAAGGCGTTAATCACGTACGTAATATCTTGAAATCCCCCCGCCAACGCTTCCAGGAAAGTACCTGATAATTATATTTAACGTTTCCGTATCTTCAAAGCAAACCGTCCTTGCTCGTTTGCAACCATGAGTAACTAGTGATCCTTAGCACTACATCAAAAAGCGTCATTAATCATTCGTTCGGGTTAAACATCTACAAACCACTATATGAATACGAGAGACGCCGTAGCGGAGGGCTCCGGAAATTTCGACCACCTAGAGTCAATCAATGTGTACCTACATCTGAGCCCATGGGCCTCCAGCAGTTCCACCTCTATCGAAAATGCGGCCACCACGGCGTTCAAAGGCACGAACAACAGCACCAATTACGTGAGGTAAAGATAGTAAAGAGCGTCGACGACATCGTTGAAGAAGAGACCTATAAGCCAACGAACTTATGAGTCGACTCACTAGTACACACAGACTCGCATCGAGTCGTGAGTCTGCACAAGTCCGAGCCAGTCGGGTTGAAAACTTTCACGAGCGAGTCCTTTTCAGAAACATCTTGGTGATCCTGAATGCGAGTGAGTCCTAAGCCCAACATAGTCTGCATGTCGGATCAGCGCAAACTAATGCTTGTGAACAACACGCACAAAGGTATATGCACAGAAAAAACGCGCGCGACCGCACACCCTGTCAACCATGCCCTTCGTGAATTGTATGCACGCAGCTTCATCCAAATGTTTACTTTTGTGAAGTCTGTCCTTGGCGTTATGAATGAAAGGCGTGTTATTTTGTATTGACCTTGACCACGGAAAGGCGTCACATACCTGAAGAATTCGAAGAAACTGAACTTGTAGCCATGTTGCTCGGCAACTCCAGCGCAGACTACGTTCGCCGAGGCTCCGATAAGGGTTCCATTGCCTGCGAGAAGAGCTGCGCTTAGTTCACTCTAACTTTGTACTTAATGTTATGCTAAAGTGGCTACGAATTCAAAAAAACATGTCAAATAATTCTCTATAGCACGAAAATTGCAAGCGGCTACAAGCAATGCAGCCATTATCTAAACTGGATACATATTTACTACTGAATTCTGCTTGAATTACCGGTTTTAGAGCTGGCGCTTCAGGCCAAATTTCATTTTCATCATTCAGTATGCATTTCGCAGCTTTACAAGTAAACTCAGAAAAGACCACTCACTCTATATCGTGCAAAGAAAAAGAATAAACGTAAGCTTGGAATTGCGCCCGTTGCTTCACATCTTGGAGACCGACTACGCAAGGCGCCTAATATTAGGGAGAGCTCTGAACAATTTTGCCCATCTAGGGTTCCTCAATGTCTGCCGAGATCACACAGTACAGAGGCTTCTAGCATTTTGCCTCGATGTCGAACATTTCTTTTGCTTGCGCATCGCCTGTTGAGATTTCTGCGGGAAGGGGAAGTTGCTGAACGACGAGAAGAGGAAGGCTTAAAGGTTGAGTAGATAAAACGAAGAAGATGTTGCAGGGCTCGAAACCGGGGTCCCAGTTTGCTTGGCTGTGTTTATAGTTCCCGCAGTGACGGGTGGCCCACGAGCGAATTCACCGAAAGCCAAGCGCTGTCACCATCATGCAGGCCAAGTTACGTTGATCGGCTTCTGACCTTAAAGGCACACTAAAGGCAAATATTAAGTCGTTTGTTGTTTGAATTGTGCTCCAGAAACCTCGCGGTGCTACTTTTGTTCCAAAGAAGTACTTTCTAAAATAAAATTATAATTTTGTGATCTGCATCGCATTGGCGCGCTTAAAATTATCCGCCTGATAGCTGTCTTTCTGGTGCGTCTGTTGCATGCCTATTGTGGCCCGCCTTCACTGCGCGGCCACCGATACTATTAGCAGCAGAGCAAAAATAGCAGGAGCCACAGTAGCAACAACGACCATTTAAGGTTGTTCTGCTTGCTTGGTTCAACTGTTCTCGGATAGATGGCACCACCTATCCAGATTAACCAGGCGAAAAAGCAACTTTTAAACCACTCGCTTCATTTGCCAGATTTAGGCTGTGGGGTTCTGTGAAAGAACGAGCGCTCAAAAAGGGCGTGCCGCCAAATTCTCGCGATGAAACGCCGGAGTGACGCCGCGAGGTCAAAAAAAAAAAGAAAAAAAAAACACGTTCCCCGGGCACGCTCCTTCTCCCCTCGGAAGCGTGGGCTCGCCGACGAACCTTCTCACCCCACAACGGCGGCCGAGCAAGCACTCGAATGTTCTAGATGGATAGGGGCGGCGTCATCCCGGGTTGAGTCATCCGTCGCGGACGGTCCTCGTATCGTTTCGCGCTTTCCCCTAGCCTTCGCTGCGCATCGCGCCGACGAAATGATGAGAACTGATATGTGGGGTTTAACGTCCCAAAACCACCATATGATTGTGAGAGACGCCGTAATGGAGCGCTCCGGAAATTTCGACCAACTGGGGTTCTTTAACGTGCACCTAAATCTGAGTACACGGGCCTACAACATTTCCGCCTCCATCGGAAATGCAGCCGCCACAGCCGGGATTCGAACCCGCGACGTGCGGGTCAGCAGCCGAGTACCTTAGCCACTAGACCACCGCGGCGGGGCGAAATGATGAGAACTTTCTGGAATGTCGCACGGAAGGTATTTAACCGAGCAGCGGAGATGAGAGATCAGGAGAAGACGGAAGTTAGCGCCAGAGCGCGTAGGGATTCTACCGTGGAGTCGGCGAAGGTTTTGTCCGTAGAGATAAAGCAAGAGAAGAAGATGATTTCCGCCTGAGGGGTGACGACTCTAGCTACAGGCAAGAGTGTGTGTGTTTACCGCTATCGAGCGAAGACGCGTGGCAACAGCTGCGTGTGTGAAGCCGACGTGTTTCCGGCGAAGAAGTTTGAAGCTTCGAGAGTGGCCATTTGAAGACGCGAGGTTTCCTGGAAGAGAAACTTCAGCGAGGTTTCCTGGAAGAGAAACTTCGGGGGGGGGGGGGCAGCGCAACAACAACAACGCTGGACTTTGAGTGAATGATTCTCGGAAGAGTATCATTCAGACTTTTGTTCCATGGACTTTGGACTGAATAAGTTTTCTAACTCTTTAGTCTTTAAATGTCTTGGTTGTTCAATGCATGCGGCTGCATTGTAGTGCGTATTGTTGTCTGTGTCCGTTGTTTCGAGTGTGGCTGATTGTACTGTGTAGTACGTTGTTTGATTGGTGTCATATTGGACTCAACTATTGTGGAGTGTGCATACTTGTGTTTTGTTTTCGATCTGCCATTACTGAGAGTATAATTTTGTTTGTTTATCAACTCTCGGCTCTGACTTGTTCTTTGGGCCACAGCCGGCGTCCGCTGGCGCGCACAAAAGGACCACTTCTAAATTGTCCACGCTTTCGTGGTGCGGTTCGGGGGGCCGATACTCCGGCCCTTGGAATTAGCCCGGCGATCGCCTCCCTAAATAACGGGACCCGTGACAGGTTCCTTTTTCTGTAAATCAAATATAAATAGACAAGCCGCATTCATTGCCCCTCTACAGATGCACAGAAGATTCCTTTTTCATTGAAGCTAGTATGTTTACTAGTGATTAATGGAAGTTTCACGCTCTCACGTCACCTTGATCATTTCCAAAATGTATGACTAATGGTGCAAGTCGTGTGTTGCGTTCAGCTTAACTGCTCAATAAGGAGGCCACTGCTGTTTATAATATTGCCATTTTAGACGCTGTAATATACTGATCTTTCACTGACAAACTCATTTGCCTTTAGCGTCCGTTTAAGACGCGAGTTCGATTGCGATTGTGGCAATTTCATATACATAGCAGTGTGGCAAACGTCTCCCGTTTCCCTTTATTCAGCGTGCTCTCCTGCCGTATCATCCCGTAACCAGAAAAGGCAGAAAAGTTTTACACATCTCTAACCGAATGCGACTGCTGTTCATGTAGCGAGTCCGTGCATTTCACCTCAACATCGTAGCGCCGCAATCAGTAGTATACCGCGGTATCAATGACGCACGCCTTTACGCTGGTGTAGAGGCTTAGTGGCCTCGACTAGTACGTGCGCCATAACGGTAACAAGTACAGCACATGGATGAAGCATTAAAAATATGTTTACGGGATCAGTGGTTAAACAGTTTCCTGTGGTTGGATAATCTTAATTATTTGCAGCTTATGCAGTTTTTTGTTTTAGTATCGACTTCTCGGCGGATATAAATTTTTAGTTGGAGGTTCACAATTTTGTTCGTAGGTGAGTTGTCATCACTTCTTATACTGCATTCCATTTTATTTTCTAGTTGGGCCATCTTTCGGATAGGCCAACGTGCAGTAAACTTGTCATTGCGTTAAGGAACCTAATGGTAATATGAAGCTTTTACCTCCAAGACAGGCTCCAAAGGCGAGAGCGTAGATTAGCGGCCCAAGCTTGAGACCCAAGTCGCTTTCACCTAGGCCATTGACAATTTTGATCTGGAAAGAAGTTGACAACGGGAATACGGTTTAGACAGACAAGGCACCAAGACCTCGACGCATTGTGATAGGCATTTCTTTTGCGCTTCTTGTAAACAAGCATATACTAACTAATTTGCACTTATGTAGCACCTAATCATCTTCACTAGCCTCGATTATTGCCCAAACCACATCAGGCCTTACTCGGTGCGAATCGAGTGTGAGGTGAGAATAATGTGAAGCAAACGACTTCGTGAACTTAAAGTAAAAGCAAGGCATGCAGGCAGGGAGACCAGGAAATGGCGAGTTGTTCGATATCACTTTGTTGAGAAATTGCCAATCTTTAACTGTTCAGCCAGCAATCTCCAATAAGTAGTGTACCAAGGGACCGATTGAATAAACAATTCAGTTAGCACTTTGAAACTTACAGCACGCTGTTTAAAGACTATTCAAGCAAAACATTGTTATTTAGACATGTTTCACGTTCATAGTTACAAGTACTTTACCGGAATTTTCCCTGCTCACGAAATTGTCAAGTGACCGCGAAATGCACCCACCATGACAGTCGTGAATGGTATATTGTCCACGAAGGAAGAGGCTAGTGCAGAGACCCAGGTTATGATAATGATTGAGACAGTTAGTCGGGAGTCATGGTGCACGCTTCGAATCCAGTTCTGGGTCAAGTGGCCAACATAAAGCAGAAGCTTTAGTTCGACGAGTGCCTGGAAAAAAAAGGTAAACATGTGGTGGAGAGGGTCGACCGCTTTATTTATTTATTTATTTACCTATAGAGTTATTTATTTATTCATTAATTCATTTATTTATTTATTGAGTACCCTCAGCACCAAAAGGCCTTACCGAGGGGGTTACACAATACATAATTGACAATAAATACATAATTGCAGGTTTAGCAAAAACAAAAAAATAATGTATCAAGCATTGCGCTCCACACAAGAATAAGGTATGACAACAAAATTAAATTTTATATAGTGGGTCACCCACTCTTGTAACCTTCACAAACAACTTTACAAGCATTGGAGCTTCGCAAACAACGCGTTTAGAAACTGCGGAGGCTTTGCGCCCGAAAGACACGATAAAATTATAGACTGCCCCAAAGGACTTTGACCACATGAGGTTCTTTAATGAGAAACTAAGGCAAAGCACACGGACTACTACAATATGGCCTACCTTCGAAATATGGCCGATGGGACAGAAGTCAATCCCTCAAGCTTCGGGACCGCAATCAGGCAGCACAACCATTAGACTCACCATTGAAGTAAATACAGATCAGAATTAAATTCAACACACATTCAATTAAATACACACTGAAATAAATACAGAATAAATTAAATACCTATAAACAAAATACAAATACAGGTTGTATAAATACATATCGTGCGTCAAGCAAACAATAGCGTAAAAGTATTCGTAGAGTATCCTGCATTTCATAAGGCTGCTATAATATATGACGAAAGCGCAGCCTCCCAAACGGCTTTCCTGAATGCGAAGCGCCATATACGTCTGATATTGCTCATTGGTTACATCTTGTGACTGACTAACGGCTGTTACGTTCCCTAGCTCATAGCGATGCAAGCTTCAGCACTTACCTCCATGACAACAAAAAGGGCTCCGAAAAATATGAGCGTGGTCCACTCCACGCGAGCGATAACAGCGTCCAGCTCACGTGTGTCAGCCAGAACCATGAGCATCACGGCTCCAAGAATAGCGATCCATCCTGCGGGTACAGAAAAGCACCTGTTACTGAACGTAAAGTACTCCATGTAAAACTTTCAAAACATCTGAAGAACGCGCTACATTTATATTCTATAAGACTAGGAGTAACAATGATGACTACAGAAGTCATCTGAGCTATGAACACAATTTCTTTGCACTAAAAAAATCAACCTTATTCTAACAACGTTTTCAAACAACTAACACAGACCGCCATAGCTGGTTACAAATTGTAATCATTGCTGCTTAAGGTGCTTGATGCGCCTGTATTTATACTCTTCAATTCCATATATGGGCATAATCGAGCTTATTACCGTCAAATAATAGTCAACGCAATGTCACGTGTGTAACTGACCCATCCGAAGAATTTCGGGCTCCAACCTGAAGATGCCGGACATAATCGTTAAGCGTGGTTTCGGCGAGAACCCTCGTAAGGTGCCTTTTTAAGCCGTTTTGAACAACAGATTTGCAACGTTGATGGTAGTACAGCATGTCAATTTTGGAAATATCCTTTATTAATTGATGTCCAAATACTGCTTACACAAGTCTTGTTCTCAAAATACTCAAACAAAATTTTGTTTATGGTATGAGTAACTTGGGATGAAATGTCAATATGACGATTCCTTCTAGATATGCGTTCAAAATCATCAAAAATTATTAACAGATACCTGCTCACTGCTTTCTCAACTGCATTTTCTCTAGCGGCGTCAGGCATATTAAAATGGTAAGGTACATTATTCGGGACAGTAATGAAGAAAGCTAATTTACTCGAATAATTAGTGGGCTTCGCTGGTTAACGTCAAATTGCGAAATGGTACAATTGGCGCTTTACGTAGGAAGTTTCGATTGTACCTTAGAAATCGCAAAAAGTGGCACTAAAATTTTGAGGTAAATATATTTAATAAATTCAACGACGAAACTCATCGAAGCACCGATGAGCCCAGAAAATACGTCCAGGATGACCCCACTCTTAAAGACAACAGTTAGTGAGGTGACGTTTTTCTGGGTCCGTTAACGTATATATGCCTTGCCTGCTTTACAACAAACTTCCAAAATAGTGAGTGCTCCCTTGCATACGCTTTAAAAAATCTCGGCATGTCCACGAAGTGAATGATTAGAGGGCGATACAGTGGGATCGTATGGTGTAATCGTCAACTACCCGGGACATTGACCACTCACGCCCGTAAATGAGCGACAAAGTGTACAGCTATATACAACATTTATTGGTCCTAAATTGTAAGTTGCGATAAGTGGTTTAGTTTTGTTTTGCCTTCATCACATCCAGCCTGAAGTCGGCTAAAACGAGGTCTGTGCATGTTCCCCTGGTAGTTGTTGATTGTTTCCAGTTTCACGAAATGCATCGTAGAGCACACCGAGAAGTCATACAATAAACAAACCAGTCGTTGTCCATGATCGTCATCATCATCGTCATAGTAAATAGTGGGCACCTTGCTTGTGCTCGGCTACAGTGAACGCCCACGGACAAGCTTTGACATTAAAAAGCTCTGCCCCCAGAACACCTTGCTTCGCTGCGAAATATTCGCTTTCCCGCACCAATGTTTTCTAATTAGATCTCTCCTTCGCAGACTGCTTTTCTAGCTCAAAGCACGTTCACCCCTCCACAATCGAGCTAAGGTGCGGAAGCACCACAAAGGCTTCACAGAGCACACTGTAGGAATCTCACGCTTCACCGTATGTTCCCACCTGGCAACTTGAGAACAGTAGAAACTAAAAAAAAAATATTACAGGGCTGAATGGTGAACGAAAACAAAAATTGTTTGCCGGTTATTCTGTGGTCGGTACTATCTGGCTGAAAACGAATTGGTTCGTGCATGCACAAAATATTTTGCAAGCTGTCCATTGCATGTGCAGCCTGTACAACCACACATTGATGTTGGTCGAACCGTCACTAATTCTGGATGTCTCTGCAAAATACAGCAGTCGCGCTCTTTCGAGTTTGGGTTTTAGTTTGGCCGCTGAGTGTGCGCAAATTTCAATACCACACGTATGCTATCAATGGACGCCTTTTCTTTATTCTCGAAACTGCAATGACTTATTCGCATGAAGAACAATTATCCCATTTGACACAGCCATCTTCCTGCATTGATTCGAAATATCAATTGATTTATTTAACTACACTCTCGCATGATGTCCTTAGCCATGTTGAGATGTCTGTGGCTATAGAAGCAGTAAGTGTGAAGGTATAGTAAAAATGTCGCATTTCGCCAATTTGCACACATTTCTTGGAAAACATTTTGATAGGACTTCTTGAGAATGCAAAGAATCTCTCCAGAATCGCTTTCGTGTATATCGAAGAGTCGATTATGCAACCGTGCGTGCACATCAATGAAATGCCGCGAAAGTCATGTCAAGCGGAATCGAGAAGCTACTCGAAAAGCCCTGGCCCCTCCCCCCTGCCCCTCCCGCAAAAAAAATAAAATTACTTTCAGATCACTCTTTCCACACCTATCGTGTCAAATGAGTTTTTTTTTGCACGTATGTTTGATTTCATGTGATCAAGATTCACAAGAAGGTTTTCAAGCTAGTTGTTCTAGCTTATCTTGTCAATCCTTATTAATAAGATTGAAAAATTATTAATTCATTGGCCAGACAAGAATATCATTCAAGACGATATTGATTCATCACATCAGTAAAGAAATGTGTAGACTAAAGGGTTCATGAAGACATCCTTACCAAGCGTCAGGTGGATTGAGGGTATGCTCTGGAGAAAGAAGAGCACGATGACGGAGGCCAGAACAATGGTTGACTTCACGAGAAGCGCCGGTTCACGGATCCTGTACTTCTCGCTCAAGGTGCGCAGGTTCTCCCGGAAACCTGCTTCAGCCAGCCTGCATTACGTAGCCAGGTAGTACGCGCGACCCATTAATATGCAAACAGCCATTACGCAGCCACCTAATAGGCGCTTATTACTGCATCTTTACAATATAAATCATTATGGTTCACATTTCCCCATTCCTATAATCTTGTAATGCTGTAAACGTCAAATTTTATGTAGTTTTACTTCTACAGGCTTATTTAAGGCAGAGAACGATGCTTTAAGGAAGAAACTGGGAGGTTACAGCTACACCTGGTTTACTGCTATAAAGGGCAACACGAAAAAAGAAAAAAAAAGAGTTACTATGAGAGAGAGAAAGAGAGAGAGAGACAAGTTAGTTGCTAGATATTTACGGTAAAATGACGGGGCGAGCCAAGCACGTACGCAAGAGACAAATTAGGACCGCACGGACGGCGAACAACAACTTAATAAGTGCACAAAGGCGAAAAACAAGCTTGGGAACTTATCTAGCCACGCAATAGGTGAACCAGTCAATCCGGCGCGCATGGGGGCGTACGTGAAAACTGTTGCATCTTGAATTTCTTTTATATGCAGGTTAATTGTTTGATGGCTCACGCATGCGATACCATTTGTCGTTATGCCAGGCCCTAAAAAATAAAAGCGTTTTTTCTATCGTGTGTTCAAGCTAACTCGCATTTCGTCTAATTTTCGAATGCAGTTACACTCAGGACAATGTAAAGATAGATTATAGGGCGAGTCCTGATAGCGATCTCAAATATTGCATGAATGTCTGGATAATGCAGTTCCCATATTGCCCTACGTAGGAATTACTGCAGCTATACGTAATGTCGTACATTGCACATGTACGGAAATCAGTATAAACTTGTGTTTAACGAAAGAAATGTCATGTGCCTTTTTTATTTTCTACATATATAAGCATTTGCAGTAAATCAGCTGCTTGTGAAACCTGGTACTGTATGTGGTGTGCAGTGCGCATCTCCCCTCTTCCCTTTGGCTCTTATTCCCCTTTCCTCATGTGTGGAGTAGCAAACAGGACGTAATCTAGTTAACCTCCCTGTCTTATATTCCCTCTCTTATTTGACGTTATTTAGTGTCTTCTTTGTAGTGACCTCTCTTTTATCCGTGTTTTCGCGCTCTGTCTCTTTACCATGATCTACGGAGAGGAGGTGGAGATAAATACATAGAGGTTCACACAGTTGCTCATGAGTTTTTGTCAGACCACTCCTAGCCTAAGATGATGATCCTCAGCCAAAAACTGCTTTCCTCGTTTGTCTTTCCTCCTTTGCCCTATTTCTCGTCCGTTTCCCGCCAACAACGCTGCCCCATGTTTGCGTTTGGTTCACAGAAAAGTCCTGCCTAGTGTCGAACAGATTCACTCACATGTATGAGGCAGTCTTGCCCTCCACAGGCGTCCCGTCAGGGGCGCCACTGCGAGGAGGTGGCAGGGTTGCGGATCGGGCGTAGTGGCTGCGCTTGCTCTGCTGGCGCACGAGCTTGCGAACCTTCTTGCGCAGCACGTGGCGCACGTGGGTCTCGTCCCGCGAGTACTCGGCCAGCGAGAAGACTGCCTTCTGCCACACCTGGATCTCGTGAGCCATCTCTGCGGGACGAAGCAAAAAAAATACAAATGCAAAAATGATCAGCAAACTATGCTCGTGGATTAATGAAAGCCGAAAGATCCTGTAGTTTGGTCAATCGGCTTTTCTTTTAGACCGTTCGACCTCCACGCACAACGCATGCTCATTTTTGTCAAATCATGAGATGCCGAAATTTCTACGTGAGGTTTCCATGCCCAATGGACAGTTTGCATCAACTGCAAGTTGGCTTACATGTGAGACTTGTTTTACTGCCAAAAACTCGTTCACAGACTGCTTTTCTCGCTCATTGTGCAGCGAAGGCACGCAAGCACGAGTGTACTACAAAATGTCACTCTTCAAATTCCAGTGACGGCACGCGTGCCATCGCTGGAACCCGCTTGCCTAGATAAAGCAAGCGGGTTAGAGGGAGACAGAATGTTAAGTGGGTAAATGAGAGTAAGAAGTTTGCGGGCATAAATTGGCAGCAGCAAGCACAGGACTGAGTTGCAAGCACAGGACATAGGAGAGGCCTCCGTCCTGCAGTGGACGTAGTCAGGCTGATGATGATGATAATGATGAAGACTCCTTTTTGAGAAAGAAAACGGGAACGCAGAGAAATAATGCTGTTGAAGTTCAACGTTCCAAAACCATGGAATGATTATGAGAGACGCCATAGTGCAGGGTCTCCGGCAATTTCGACCACTTGTGTTTCTTTAACCTGCACCCAAATCTGCTCACAAGCATTTTCACGTCCATCGAAAGTGCGGCCGCCGTGGCCAGGATTCGATCCCGTGACCAGCGGGTCAGAAGCAGAGTGCCTGAAGACTAGACCACCTTGGCGGGGTAAGTCAGGTAGGTTAATAAGACAGCAGTGTGCGGTACGCTACCTTGCACTAGGGTTGGGAAATAGTGAATTGGAGAGAGATGCATTCAGGCACCTCCCCTTGTGGAACACCAATGAAACAGCGAAGCTGTTGGATTACAAAGGAGCTTTCACTTCGCCAATTATTTGAGCGGGTTGAGCTACGTTGATGTCGAGTGCAGTGGACTCAAATGAAAGAGCATTAGAATTGGTGAGTGATGTGAGTGAATAAAGGGAGAGGAGTGGCGGAAACGATTGTCAGGCGTAGTAGGTAAGCGGTGAGAGTAGTGAGCAAAGAGTGGTGAGAGGAGTGTCACATTTCTGCAGCGATATTTATCAACTTTCTGTGACACATACCCATTCCGCTCGAAATAACGAAATGAGAACTCAAGTCTCGCCATGAGCTTTTTTCAAGAAGTACATAACTTGTGCCGTTTCATCTGACACCTGTAACTAAAGTGATTTATTATCACCTGTTTCATTGCTGGTGACCTGAAAATTATATGGTCAGTTTGCGGTTAAGGCGTGCTTTCGACAAGCCTCTGCTCAAGGGTTTTTACTGAGACTGGCTTAGCTGCTAGCTTAAGCTTGCCTATAGCAAAGCCCATTTTTTTTTAAACCTTTAAGTAGAACCACGTTTTCTCGTTAGTTACGATAGCTACTTTCCATACACCTCATGGGAAATACTGCACCTAGAGTTTCACTTGAATGTGGAAACTACCACAAGAAATAGACTAGAAGACCGGATATTTAAAAACCGCAACGAAAAGATGCATACCTAGGTAGTCGGAGGACTGTGCCGAGCGCAGCTTCTTGACATCCCGGTAAAAGACGCGCAGGTAGATATACGCTCCCAGCGCGCACAGCAGAACGCCAGGAGCCATGTGCGCCGTAAAAGTAGTGAACGAGACCCCCTGCGAAATTTGCCAAGAAAGTTGGAAAATAGTATTGTAGGTAGATCATTAGGCACTTCGTTGCAGCAAGTACTCCTCAAAAGGACACAAATTAAGCTGCGATAAAGCCACACGTAGCGTTGTGTTTTGATTGTGGCCCAATTTTTGTCATTTTGTCGAGATGGCGTGACAACCATGTGCCTTTACGATCTACAAAGAGCTCTGTTTGTGCCAAGTTTCAAAGTACACTTGTTAGAATCGGCACTACGCATCGTGATCACCTAAACCTATGCGCAGGGATACATTTAGTATATGTACGTCCACAGTTGTCCATTATTTGCGCCGTGATCGAATATCATAGGATAACGCTCACACATGCTATCGCTCACCGCAAGCTATCCCTGCGGTTGTACCCAGTACTGGTGTCCCGCGGGCACTTTTAATTGCGATCAGGGTGAACGCGATCGGTTTTCTTGATCGGGAAGAACTTTATGGCCGCTGCTACACGGCCAAAGAAAATGATTGATAGATATGTAAAGTTTAACGTCCCAAAACCACCATATGAAAATGAGAGACGCTGTAGTGGAGGGCTCTGAAAATTTTGACCACCTAGGGTTCTATGGCCCAAGCAAATGCTGTTCGAACTTGGGTCAGGTAAAATGCACCAGGTGTCACTTGCATGCCGCAAAACATGTCATTGACAAAAGTCAGCGTATGCTATTTTAATAGAGCCATTTACCAGCAATACGTTAATTGTACAAGAACCGCTCGAACGTCAAACACTTTGCGTGGCACTACAAAAGTAATTTCATAAATCCGTCATTTGGTAGACTTTTCAACGCACGTACTTGTATTGCTGCGTGACAATCTTAGTCTTCACATTTATTTCCGATGGCAATTGCACGGAGCGGTTCAGTCACAGCAAAACGGCGATCTCGTTGTACACGCCACAGTTTCGTTTCTCGCGCCTCGATTCTTCCAGTTGCTCATGCAGCGGTCAATTATTGTAAAGGTCTCATCATTTGAGCACAAAGCGTGCGTACGCTGTGACGTAGCTGGCAACACTGTCACTTTGCTTCGAGGTGCTCGAAATGCTCCCATGGCACAAGAGTCGAACTTGTCTGCTTATGCTCTGCTTCTCCCGTAACCACATGCAATGAACACGAATCTTAAAATACTCACTGCTACAGATATTTTTTTCCAATTAAGACAGTTTAAAAATTTGATGAATACACACCAATCTTTTCAAATCGGTTTTTACAAAAATATCCTTTATTTTCTTCTTTCTTTTGCTTTAAACAAGCTCGGCTAAGGGGTGCAGACAACATGAAATCGCGATCTTTCAGCCAGATTGCGATGTGCGAATCGCGATAGTGTTGATCTCGATCGGGCCTGATCGTGATTAAAAGTGGCCGTGTAGTTGCACCTAATTCTGATCGGCACTGATCGCGATTAAAAATTCCCGTGTGACACCGGTATAAATTTTTGTGACCTCTGATAATGTCCTATGATCTAGTACGACTGTTTGCACTATGAGAATGAAGTAGTAAAGACTGACATGTACGTGAGAGCAACCCCTTATGCCTGCCTTCGCAAAGTAAACTTGCTCGCTAGACTACTTTTATCATGTTTTGTGACGTGAATAGAAAAATGCAGGGGTTTTTTTTGTATCCCCTGCGCCCCTGGCATTTTGAGCCCCAACCTTTCAGTATTATTAGCTCTTCAGAGTGAAATAAAAGTGAATAGAATTTTGTAGAGGAATCACTTTGCTTGCGTTATGTAGTGCGCATAGTTGCTTAACTATGATTCACCGAAATTTTGCTAGGTTGGTGTAATGACAACTAGACAGGTGGGCCTACGAGGCGCTAAGGAAACATTTTTAAGTGCAGCATTCAAAAGCTATACTGTTGGTTTAGTTAAGAACACTGAACAATAATTCAATGCATCGTCCCATAAAATTGGCATCGGGTAAAGTCGTGCCTCGTGGGTAGTGCGCAGAGTGGGAAGTGTTTCCATCAATGCGTTACATTTACAAAAAAAAAAGCAGAGAAGCAATCAGTATAAAGCCTGTACTGACCAGTGAGCGAACGCTGGGGTTCGATATGATGATCACATTGGGAGGGTCACCCACTGGAGTGGCCGCGCCGCCGATGTTGGAGAACACCACGAGGATGATGAGCACAAGCTTGGGATCAAGGTCCATCACTTCGCACAACCTGTCGTATAGGTATTGTGAACGATGCCACGCACGTTAGTGTCGGCTTAGCTACCAATTCATTATGAACAACGAGAATAGCTGTCTTATAAACGCAGCCGCGTAATATTTTCATGGCATTTTATGCAACACGTACTACGAGAATGCTGCGGACTGTAGGGAGCGGGAAAGTTGAGAGAACATGGCGTAAGTATTGAACAATCATTCCGCCAGCACTCGCTGACTTCTCTACGTTGAATGCTTGGGATGTAAACAATCTGCAGAAGTATTCGAGGGAAAGTCTTCATATGTAAAGCTCTGGCTGCCATGTAGTTTAACGAGACGTGATTCATGGTAGCGTATCCAAGTTTTCCTGTCTCAGAAAGTCACGTCTCCTGCTTTCTGCAGGAATATTTGCCGCCATTTTCAGCGCCAATTCAGTGTTACTGTGAGGTAGAGCGTATAGAAAATCTCCTGAAATGTCCACAACAGGGAGGTTCATTAACGTGAACCTAATAAAAGTACACCGGCCTCTGGAATTGAAACTACATAAAGTGAACTCTCGCGGTTAGCATTGAATTAACATATGTAAGTTTATTCATTTATTTATCTTTATTCGGAGGTAGCTACAAGCCAATTAGGAGCCCCTAGGAGGAGCGAATATAAACACAACCAATTAGCAGCGGAGAGACTTAACACTTATCGCCCGGTAACGCGAGGTTGTCTAATAAGCGTCAAAGCCAAATATACTTGCACGATCCCTGCAAAAAGCACGATAACTGCAACATTAATCGAGAGAAAATAGTTGCCTATTTCTAGACTGAAGCTCCAAAAAAACGTTTTTCATGTTTCGCACTAGAGAGCGGTTGGTGAAAATTTTTGCTCTTGTTTCGGCATATAGACTCTATATAACCCCATTTTTAGCATGCGGAAAGTCGCCACTCTTGTAATAAACAAAAAGCCGAAATGAAAACTTGAGGCACTAGTAGTAATTCATAATAAGTGTTCATGCAAGACTGCTTATCTAAAGCAGTTGTTTGTGTGCAGTAGTAGCTATAGAAGATATTTTGCGATTGCTTTACGACAAAGTAATATCGCCATACAACAGCTGCGTTTCTCACTTGATGGTGACGGGTGTCATCAACAAAATGGTGGTGACGTTGTCCAGGAATGCAGAGATGACAGCGGTGAAAGTGCAAAGCATTGTCACCATGGGCCAGATGTTACCATGAGCCAGACGGTAAGCCTGTGGAGATAACCTTAATAGGCTTCACCATGTTCAGTGAGCTAGCAATAAATAGATCACCCGGTATTATTTAAAATCAAATCTCGGCTGGCGTACACAATTCACTGACATGCTCCTCTGCATGTAACGGAAGCGGAAAGAAATGACATGATAAAGGCTATAGAAAAACATTGTTAAGACGGAAAAATTGGGAGCCCTACTCCTTTCAGGAAATCGGGGGCAACAGAAGCTTGGCGTGGACGTATCTGATTTTCCCTTTTTTTCCCTTCACATATTGTGAAATGCGCCATCTTAACTTTTGATCATCCGTGTCAGAATTTGGTCTTTCAACCACTTACGTGCGCAACATTTCAGTAGGTACCGGCAACAGTGGTCATGCATAAAACAATGAAGTGTAATAATGCAAGAAAACATTGAAATGTGGCAACGTGAAAATATATGGGACTTCGATAAAGAACGAGATAGCATAGCACGAACTGCTGATATGTCTATGATCGAAAAAGCACCTCTCGTGGAAACATTAACGGCATAACATGCATATTGTGTGAGTTGGTATCCTTGGAAGCAGAACGTGAGCCGCGGCGTGTGCCACTTTTTAGGGGGCCAAGCTTCTTAAGCCGTTGGTCCGTTCATGCTTGTCTCTCTTGGTACGTGACCACCAAGTTACATGACTCTCTCGGAAGCTACAGATGTACAAACAGACAGACAGACAATTCACGGTTTATCGATAAAAGCCTCCTAATCTTCGCCTCACTAATCATCACTTAATCTGTGAAAAATCTGTAATCTTTTTTTTTTGAGCCTGCTATTTACTAGCCACTACTACCACCGAAATCCAACTCAGAGTAGCTTTGCTTAAAAGTCAGAATTGAACGCCGTGTTCTTCGAGTCTTGGGACGTGCATTTGTAAACTCCATTGTATGCATTAAGCTACACATAGGTGCAAAATTTCGCTGCTTAAAAAGCGATTTAAGAAGACAGGCAGACGCCTTTGAAAAAAAAATGGCCCCGTATCTGCGTGTTCCAGTGCAAACTTCTAAAAATGATATGCTTCCGTCAAAAGAGTGAATAAAACGTTCATTTTGATGTTCTGCGTGAGAAACTCAGTGAATGGATTGTGAATGCACTGCGTGAGATACGAGTGCCATCTGGCAGCAAGGTTGGTGAACAAAAGGATATCTGTGTACATTACCTCCGATATAACTTCTGATATATCTCTGAGGCCATAAATTGAATGCAAAGGAACGGCTGGGAGGTAGCACCATATCGTCATAAAGCGTAGAAAGCAACCGCCTTTTCATGCATAGCATCGCATTGCCTGGGCCGCGTAGTAAATGCTACGGTCTATATAAATACATTTACATTTATATCATTTATTCAACCTTAAGGGCACTACATAAGGGGGGGGGGGGTCGTACATCCAGGTTGTAAGTTTCTAAGCAATGTAACAAAATGAGGGTACACACTGATTACAATGAATAAGCAAATAAAGAACACAAGCGGAAATTATCTATGCCTTTTTTAGTACAAAGCAACACACCACAAAATTTTTACGTGCTTATATTGCGCCTCAGAAGCGTAATATTTGCTTTTTAATTGACAATATACATAAGTATGAATGCATACACCTGATCAAGATTGGTTGGCGCTGAGGAAGTGGTTCAATTTTGGTTTAGTTGGTTAGTCGTATTGGTCGACCGACATACACGTGAAACGACACACGCGCGCACGCGCACACGCACACGCACACACACACTGAGGGAGAGAGAGACCGAATTTTTTTGCTTTGAAGTATCCCAAGAAAGATTATAGTCTCAAATCAACGGGACACACATTCGATGGTGCGTCAAAATAATTGCAGAACCACAATGGTAGCAGCGTATTTTTTGTGCATAGCAGTGCACTTTATTGAACAAATCATCATGTATTTGTAAGAAAAAAAAGACCACGAAAAGAGCTAGCACTAGCTAAAGAACACTTGATGTACACTCACCCAGTGCACTGTTTTGCTTGTTCTAAATATAATTTGTGCTTTTTCATTGGCCCGACACTGCTTACAAATGTGAGACTAATGAGCCGAAGAAGAAAACTTTCCAGAACTATGGAGGAATAATGCTCATTGCCTTATATATCCGTGAACGTGAAACCGTCTGACTTCGACACTGCTGTCTGCGCTAATGGCTCTGTAGAGCTAACCAATATCTCGTGTAATAATTCTAACAATGTACTGGAATTAATAGTTAGTGGAGACAAGGCTTACAGGAAGAAAGCGATGAAGTTTTGTTCATGAAAACTTTTGGTGTTGTCAGCTGTCGTGGCTCGGGTATACCATTTCGGATTTGTTATAATTGATAGGATGCGTTTCTCGGAAACAACAATAATAACAAATTATTCTATTACAACATACTATTTGGTAGAGGTGACAATTGCGAAACTTAGATGAATAACTGCTTGGCAGATGGTGCCGGCAATTTCGATCACTGGGGTTCTTTAACTTTCGCCTAAATCCTTGTACGCAGACCTCAAACAATCTCGCCTCCATCGGCAATGCGGCCGCCATGGCCGGGATTGATCCTGTTACCGGCGGATCAGCAGTCGCACATTTTAACCATTGGACCACCGTAGTGGGCCTAGTATCGCCGAAATTTCCACCTACCACAATTGTTTCGCAAAATTCTCGCCACGCATAACGTGTAAACGAATCGATGAGAGCTAAGCCTAAGTACGAATAGATTGATAGTGTCCCTGGAAATAACTTGTTTCGGAATGAATCGAGTGCTGTTGTGGGCGTACCTATAGGGCATGCCTAAAGGGCACGTCAGAGAAGCCGCTGAATGTGACGCGACCAGGTTAACGCTGATTCACTGCAAGCACCGAGATAGGCCAGCGTGGCTTGGCTCGCAAAATACCTCAAAACCACATTTCTCTCACTCTTCTTAATTTGTAGTTTGTGTGTGCTGAGTTCTAAACAGAACCGGGCACTAAGGCTAAAGACCATATTACCTGATCAGATGCCTCTTCCCTTGCCGTTCAGCACGCAGGCCGCACTATATATCGTTGCTCGAATTGACAAGTATACTTTCTCGTATAGCTCCAAAAAATGGGCATTGTTTCCTACACAGTAAAATAAAGCGTTCTTATTGATGTAGCTGAAAGCTGATGCTTTGTGCACGTCCCTCACTGCTCGATTTCCGAAACACGCGATTTTCATGATGATCAGGGTATGATTTCCTATCCATATCTTCACAGGAGCGTATGGCGGTGCGCAAATTTATACGTAGCGCCTTTGAATACAATGCCTAGTTTGTTAGTGTGAATATTACATTACCAGCAATTATTCACTATTGATGCTAAAACTGTCGCACCAAAAATATCACCTGTTTACGCTTCTACAGCGCGATTGCTGCTGCCAAACGAGAATAAATCTCGCAAAATTTAGCTTGCATTGAGAGCATTTGACATTAATTCTTCATAATGCAATAAATGCAGGAGGAGCAAACGATAATGAAAGTCATTCTTGAATTACGCCAGAAAGTATGGTTCAGACGTTGCAAGTCAGTCTCGCCAAATGTTCAAACGAGCCAACAGAAGCGGCTCACCAGCACAGCGGCGTAATCGAAGAAGCCTGTTTCGCAGAGAACGCCGACCAGGATCATCATGCCGAAGAGCAGACACAGGGTCTCAACAGTCCAGCCACGATACCACTTGTGTCAAGCTCGGTCGCTGCACAAAATAAGGATCAGTTTAGTCCCTTTTCCATACATGTACAACGTAGACATGCTAATTGTGCGTTGCCGCAAAAGGTAAATATAGCTCGGGTGTGATTACGAGGTAAATAAGCCATGATGTGATTAGGAGGCACGCTGTCGTGGTGTGTTCTGAAAATGTTGACCATCTGGTGCTCTTCACGTGCACCGAGAACGCCCACTACAGTGATTTCTGGCATTACATCTCCGCCAAATAGAACTGACTGGGTGGGGATTGAATCCACAACCTTCAGATCAGCCGCTCGAGCACCGTCACCGCAAGAACCACCTCCCTGATTGGTTTCTCGCAAAACGTGAAACTACACGTTGTATGATACGTTCGCTAGCACTCCTCGTAAGAACGTCTGAGATGAATTAAATACGTAGCAGAAAAGCATTTTTTCGTACGCACACAGTGACGTAGCGTGAAAACATTACGGCGTCTATACACATAAACCAAAATAGAGAAAAAAAACCTATGTGCTTGTGATGTAACTAGCAAAACAGAGTACACGAAGCGCGAGAAAAAAACGTGACATCAAAAGGATTGCCAAGAAGAGGCACTCAGCAAGCGATCAATTTCCCGCATTCGACGAAAAATTTATGCACCTTTATGAAGCGAATCATAATTGAGTGAAGCTCTGAATATCGCTTACGTTTCCCAAGCATTGCGCCATATATTGTACTTTGAGTGAAAAAGTTGCATAACGTGACTGAAAGTCGACAGAAAAGCTCGATTCTAAAGTCTATTTTGTTTGCGTTGTCATGGAAGCCGTCGACTTGTATAAAGGCTTCTTTCTTGTAGTCGCAATCATTATATTGTTCTTTCACTACTGAGAATGCTGTTTGCCTACTGTATGTTTTTTTTTTATATTCCCATAAACATTTTTAGACTATAGGGATGGTATTCTATATATCAAGACGACGACTAGAATAAATTATTTGTGTTTTGGTCTGTTTTATGCTATCCAGTAAACGTGATTGGTATTAGCGTAACGTTAAATGTTTGCGTGTGTGTCTCTCATCCAGGCATCTCCCCGTCACAACGTACACCACGGACGTACACAGAGAAGCCTCGGCCCTGGGGCACTTCGCCCCTAAAACTGGAAATAACAACGATAAACCGTTGTCGGTTTTAGTGTTTATTATCACTCTGTGAACGTCAAAGTGCCGTGTAATACAAGAGGCCACTTTCATTCGTCGTGGCAGGTGAGTATTCTACCCCTGAACCACTGACGCTTTGTTCGTCGTGCAGAAGCAAAATTGGTGAGCGGAGTGTTGCATACCATCACGCTGTATTTTTTCGTATGGTACATTGTGTGCCTTATCGATATTTTCGCCTCGTCTCATAACTTCCAAATACATCGATTTTCCCTTACATTATTTTCCGTTTTGTTTTCGGTGCGTCGAAATTTGAAAGCCCTTCTGATTCAGCCAGGATGTAAAAAAAAGGGAATAAAAATACATAGCATAATGAATGCTATAAAAGTAATATACGCTAATAAAACAGTAGTTGATAGAAGGTATCAATAAATTGTCATTTGGAAGTAAAACAAAAATTTTCCCAGCTTTACTGCACCACAGTATATATTCGTTCACGACCAGGCTACCATGAATAAAACCAAAGCCTCTGAATCCGAGTCATTATGCCACGTTCTTTGCCGTGTTATGTGAATAGTTGGCCTACCAACAAATCCACGAAGCCAGACTCAGTGGCCACGGCGTGTCAGAATTTATTTGAGGCCATGCATTCAAGCAGGCAGCTTTGCATTCTTCACTGCCATGTTTCCCTTTATGACACACGTGAGGGAGATATTTAAGAGATATGAAAATTGCAGAAATAAGTGACGTGGCTAGCATGTAACTGCCGCACGTAAGTTGAGGAGCAACGCGCAGCGCACTTACCTGACCCACCAGGCAAAGTGAGCCGACAGCCATTGTAGCGCCGATGAGAGCAGCCAGAGTCCTGTGGACCAGCTGACGGGAAGTAAAATAATTTGGACACATTGCACAGTGTGGTAATGATGCGTCTCAGAAATATCTTCAGGCTGTGCATGTAACATCACCAGTCAGATATATCGCGTAGCTAAGCTAAATGCAGGGGACCTGACCCACAAACTTCAATGAAAAAAAAGTGATATATTGCTAAAGGTCATGAGGTAGGCTGATTTGCCAGCGCTTAAGGACACGAAGTTACATGGTACATATCAACAATTTATTCTCAAAAGGCGACAAAATAGACAAAATTAAGGGCAAGAATTGAACCTGCTGAAGAATAAATCTGTCCAGGATATGCACTGATAGTAAATCTGCCCACGAAATGTGACCAATTACTCAGCATAGACGATATAAAGGCAAACATTGAATCAGCTGAACAATAAATCTGCACAGGAATTGTAACGCGTGGAATGAAATGCCACCAGGAAATTTTATTTGTAATTTTCATAACATTGTGAAAATGGCCGAGAACTTCCACTTATAAATGCCAAGTGTGCACATTAGGTTGATTGATTTGTGGTGTTTAACGTCCCAAAACCACTATATGATTATGAGAGAAGCTGTAGTAAAAGGCTGCGGAAATTTCGACCACCTGGGGTTCTTTGCACATTAGGTTTACAACCGCTTGAAGCCGAACGAAGAAAACCGAATAATAGCAGATATGGTTAAAGGCTGAACAGATGCATGCTACGAGCAATAAAACTACACTATATAAGTTAATATATCAAGAGCACTACCTCAAACACGATGAGCAAGTAAAGCACCGTCAGAACCAAAGTTGCCAAGAATACGCTCAAGCCGAATTCCACCTCTGAAGGCTCCAGCAGGCTCTGCAGTGGGTAGATGACATCGGGCTGGCTACCATGAACTTCAACCAGTATGTCAGGACTCGGTCTACAAAGAAACGAGAATTCGCAGTGTTCGCAGGCAAAAGCCTCCTGCTTCACATTTGGTAATACTAAGCTGTACAATTGCATCAGTCGGGGCAGAAACTTTTGCAAGCAGACATACTAGCTGCATTGTGAGAAGTGTGAAGTAAATTACTTGGACGCTTCCAGTCGCTTTTAATGTTTCTTTACACTTTGTTGTGATACATTTTTTTCCTTGAGAGCCGACGCGATAAGTGCCGTATAACGGTGTGCAGCAGAATGAATAAAAAGTACGTGAATGCGTGCGTGTGGTGGGCAGTCATGTGCAGTTTTCTGCAAGGCTGTTCCGGAAACCGGGCACCAGCCCAACTTCTTTGAGTACAGTAGTTTTTTTTTTTTTTAACTGTGCCGCCGATTTATTACAGGGAGGCGGTGGCACTTGAGAGGAATGGGATGCGATACAGACCCACTGTTTAACCTGCGTACATTGCAGCATTTTGTTTTTCCTCTAGTTCAACCAGCATTTGCCTGAAGCGAAAGAAAGATGGTACCCCGCGCGTTTCACTTTTGTTTGTTTCAGCTTTCGCCCAAAAAGCCTGTCAGAAATAATCAGTGAAAACTGCGCCTCATTATTTGGCAAGGTTTGCCATTATTGTACGTCGTACTGTTGAGATTGCGCGCAAGACGCGAACGCTCGAGATTATTCCAGTGGTTGCACTACGACCACTGATGAAGCTGGAATATTCTACGGCACACGTGTGAATGCCTACCCAATACAGGTTTACACGTCCTGTGAGCCTCTTCGAGTGCACCTTCGTCTGCTGACCCGACATGCACAGCACCCGTTGTCTTCGCTACAAGTGGACCGACCAAGCTGTACCTATTCGCGATGCCTCGATATGCATAGGCACATGATCCCGTCAGGCTTCGCACCTGCCGTAGTCTCTGCAGTGCCTCCATGGACATTGACTAAACCACTGGTGTGCCTTCACATACGTGGAATTTCGTATAAGTCACATGTTTCTCATATTGTCCTCAAGCAACTCACTTTGGCACATTTAGATGACCGATACAGTGACTCTGTACACATTTACACCGATGGATCCGTAACTTCATCCGCTTCAGCTGCAGCTTTCGTGATCCCTCAACTCGGTATTTCCCGACAGTACAAATTAGATCATAGGTCATCTTCGACAGCTGCAGAACTTGTTGCTATACAAGAAGCCATAAAATTTGTGAACGACCAAGCACCGCGTAAATGGACGATTCTATCTGATTCAAAATCAGCGCTTCAAGCTATCTATTCTAACTCAAGAAGAGGCGAATTTTACGAGTTAACGTTAGGAATCGTCCAAGCATTTGACCTAACACACAGGAGTGGTCACTTGATTACACTCCAGTGGATTCCTGGACACTGCGGCCTGGTTGGCAACGAAACAGCCGATAGCGAAGCAAGAGCGGCAATATACAACGCTCCTATGTACGTCAAAGTACCCTACTCGCGAGGTGACGTCAACACATTGTTGAGATCACTCATGCGCGAATGCGCTGCCACTTACTGGTCGCTACCAGATCACCGGAACAAGCGCCTGCGGGAAACAGACCCCGGTATGACTTTTCGTCTTCCAGATAAAATCAGCCGAAGACATGCTAATATACTGCACCGAATTCGCCTGGGCGTCGCCTTCACTCGCCACTACACTCACCTAATTGGCCGTGCGGACAGCCCGAATTGTGAACGCTGCCAAGTGCGCGAAACGATAGCTCACATATTTTGTGACTGTGCATTATACGTGGCGCAAAGAAAAATGCTAACTGCAACGTTGGCAAGCATTGGACGAACACCATTAAGTGAAAGCCACATATTGTCAGCAATGAACGACCAAACAGTGTCAAAAACTGCTACAAAGGCTGTTCTAGACTTTATAAAAACCACTGGACTAGAAACTAGACTGTAGGGTACTATGCTAAGTGGCTACTGTACATACGCACCACCTCTTCTTGTCCCCATCATCACCCTTCATCCCTCTTTCCTTCCCCTTTCCCTTATCCCCTGTGTAGAGTAGCAGGCTAGAGCGAACTAGCTCAGGCCGACCTCTCTGCCTTCTAATAAATTCTCTCTCTCTCTCTCTCTCTCTCTCTCTCTCTCTCCGAAGCACTCCACCACTTGTCAGTTGATTGATGGCTGACGCTCTGTCCCAGTGTGTATCGCTGTGATCTGGCTTCCCGATTGCGGGCCACAAGTTCGGCAAAGTCTGCTTCCTTCATGAAGGTTACGACTGCATGAAAATATTCATGACCGCAAATGAAAAATCAGGACAAAAACAACTAAGCGCCAAAAGGCAAGTGGGATCGCATCCATTTCACATATGAACCCTAATTACAGCACCCGTGTGCGTATACTCGTTCATTGCACCACTGTTCTTTGTTTTGCAGCGTTTATCGGTTGGTGATTCCGCGTCAAGTTAAAAAAAAATGAATGGCTGTACAGATCACGCATTTTGGCGCAGAATACGGGATCGGCGCACTTTTGACCGATCTACGTCGACAGTGACATCATATGACGTTATTCAAGGACGAATTCGCGTAAAGTCACGATGTCGCAAGAGCGCCACGTTCTAAAATCTGGCGATCTGCAAATTTTTTACCACATCGTGTGGTGACATCTGTACCTTGGTCACGCGGGTGTTTTTCTACGGGGCTCGCGAAGTCTCGTTTTCTCTTGTGAAGTCTCGCGGAGAAAAATGCCGATGGAGCGGTATAAATATTTGAACTTTCAAAATAGCTTCTATCTAGAATACCCAAAGTCTTTTTAATTATTTACGAAGTATAGAGCGAGGCACACTTGACAATCAGTCTCATGTTATGGCACATGTATGTGTAGAGAATCCTGCATGATCGATTAGTTCACCCGTAACCAGCCATCTCTAAGCCTCCTAGTTAGCTCCGATAAAGCTCTAAAAAATCGTTAGCTCCGATAAAAGGCTCCAAAAATTGGTTCCAAATCGGCATGTTACACCGCAAATGTAGTCGAAAGACGATAGTCTTGCATCTGGAGAGAGTGAACAAAACGTTTATTTGATGTTCTGCGCATGAAGATTGGTGAATGGTATTCTGGAGGCACTGCGTTAGAGTGCCTCGAGCGTCTAGCGGAGGCAAACGAGCGCATCGAGGCACGTTAGACAAGCGCCACCTGGCAGTTATATTTAAAAACGAAGGCCTGCAGCAAGCGGAGAAAGATGCACGCCAGTCTCGGAGGTCATAAGGTGTAGAACGCAAAGCGACGGGCGCGTGCCACCACCGTGACGTCGTAGCAAAATGTTGGAAACACCTTTTTGAGCATCGCGTTGCACTGTCAACGCAGCGCGATAAACGCTAAATTGCTTAGAGTTACTGGCGTGTGCCTCTTCTAGTAAAAAGCAAACAAAACTTCGAGGTGGTGTTATGATGCCTCAGATATGTTAAATAATGACTTTTTAATTGACAATCGCACAAGTATGAACGCTAAACCTTGAGCAATATTGGTGGGTGCTGCGAATGGGGTTGACCGTTTGGTGCCGTTTGAGGTATCGTTAGGGTGGACAAACAGAAAAATATACTGATAGACAGACAGACAGACAGACAGACAGACAGAAAAATGTACAGCCAGACAGACAAGTGTACAGACAGACAGCCAGACAGACAAGTGTACAGACAGACAGACAGGCAGACAAATGTACAGACAGACAGACAGACAGACAGACAGACAGACAGACAGACAGACAGACAGACTGACGATTGTACAGACACAGACTGACGATTGTACAGACACAGACTGACGATTGTACAGACAGACAGACTGACGATTGTACAGACAGACAGATTGACAATTGTACAGACACAAACAGACAGACAGACGATTGTACAGACACAGACAGACAGACAGACGATTGTACAGACACAGACAGACAGACAGACAGACAGACGATTGTACAGACACAGACAGACAGACAGACGATTGTACAGACACAGACAGACAGACAGACAGACAGACTATTGTACAGACACAGACTGACGATTGTACAGACACAGACAGACAGACAGACAGACAGACAGACAGACAGACAGACAGACAGACAGACAGACAGACCAAAATTTTTTCGTCGAAGGTCCCTAAGAAAGATATTCGTCTTTAAAACATCGCACAAAAACTTCTGGTGCTCCTAGGCGATCCTCAAAAGCTCTTTTGGAAATAGACTTGCGAGCACCCCAAGCACTCAAATTATTCAAAGGCATTCGACACATTTACTCACTGAAATTCGGCCACCATAAACTCCTCTTTGACGACAAGGCTGATCTCGGCGATGGCATCCGCAGTCGTCACCGTTGGAATGCGCATGATTTGCGAAAATCTCGACAGCATCCCGTGCGAAGTGCCGTTGGTGTCTACTACGAGAGTGACAGTCGTGAAGACGTGCGTCAAGTTGGCGAGTGAACGATGCAAAAACGGACCTCTCAATGAGAGTTGAACGGGAGACTGCCAGTCCTCCAGATGAATTCCTATTGAGGCCCAGCAGGTGGTGGACTGTAGTCAAGGAAGCACTCCCATGCTCTAAGTGTCGACATTAACTTGATAGCAAGATTTATTTATTTATTTATTTATTTATTTATTTATTTATTTATTTATTTATTTATTTATATGTGGTGTTTAACGTTCCGAAACCACCATATCATTATGAAAGACGCGGTAGTGGAGTACTCCGAAAATTTCGACCACCTGGGGCTTTTTTACGTGCACCCAAATCTGAGCACATGAGCCTGCAGCATTTTTGTCTCCATATAAAATGCAGCCGCCACAGCCAGGACTTGATCCCGCGACCTGCGGGTCAGCAGCCGAGTACCTTAGCCACTAGACCTCCACAGCGGGGTCTTGATAGCATGCTTCAGGCAGTGAAGTACAAGTTTTGGTTGGTAATATATTTTCTATTAGAAACGAAGAAGGATTGAAGAAATGAAAGCCGAACAGTACTGCAGACGTTATGGCTCGCATGAACAGTGTCAGATGCCAAACAAAACAATTCGTTGACAGGGCCTCCAGCCCACATTTCGTCAAATGGACTTTTCTTCAAGGTACATCTGTCAAATATAGCCTTTAGCCCAAGTACACGTGTTCGAACATTGGCTATGCAGCACAAAACCCCTGATTAGAGATTTTTTTCCATGCGATCTTCCGTATTTTTCTCCTGTTATTTTATAGAATGACAATAAGATGTTCAGTTAGTTAGCAAGATAAAGATTTAGAAGAGTTTGCTTAGGCTAGTGCGAGATGCGTGATTAAGGAATAGAAAAGAAAAAAAAAACACACCGTTAGCAGCACACGCATTGTGTTCTATATTTCTTTGACACTTGAGTTCTTTGCGGTTAAGTTTCTTAATGAGAAGGTAGTAGATTCCTCAAAGTCTAGCACAGCAGCTATCAAGCTGTGTTTTACATGCATATATATTAAACGCACGTGAAAGCACATACCCTTGGAAAACATAAAACCTTTGCACATAGTTTCAGTAGTTCAGCTTCTAATCTTAAAAATCATTCGCGATGGATAATCTTAGAATAAGGCTGTGTATAAATGAGTTCTCGTAGAAACTTCATGAGAAATTATCATGCAAATTTCGGCGCTTGGTTGAAACCGGCTTGAAAAGCACAATATCAATTTGAATGTTTTGACTAATACAAAATATGTTCTAAGTTCGAATGAGTGACAGGGTGATCGCTTTCAATGAAACAATAGTTTGTAAAATAAGTTCTTTAGAACGTTTTACCATTTTCCTCAGACATTTAGTACTTCACAACGCTCATTAGGCTAGGAGCACGTGAAAATCAATTATATCAGATAACACCAGTTGACTGACATAGAAATTATTCGTTTATGACGTCATTTATCTCACAGAAGATAAAATAAATGCTGACAGTGAGGCGGTTGCCTAAAGTTCTTTGTAGAACTTTGGGGAACTGCATCATGTCTACCTGCCTGGTATTCGATATATGTAACCCTAAGTAGCCCTTGTTAGCTCTAAGTTGATTTATATGTGTATATACTACAGATAGCAAGATCTAACTGAGTGTGACTTAATAAGGCATTACTAAAAAAGTAACAACCAAGAAACCCTACGTAAGCTCATCGAATAGACCATTCTTCCTTCAAGTGAGGATGTGGCGGTTGCTAAAGCACCTTCAAGTCAAAACGTACGAACGTTCTCGGCTTGCGCACCCGTCACCGGAGACTGCTACAGCAAGGAATTGAATCCCTACCCAAGAAATCAACAACCTACAGTCATAATACATTGTATACGTTGGCATGAACGTAAAATTCTACAATACTCTTAAAAAAGATACGGTGCGATCCATTGCCACTTGTGACGTTGAACTTGTAACCTTTGGTGTCTTCGTCTGCTTCAGGAAATATGCCCATCAGGACCTGAAAACGAGAGCTTGCTACAATGACATTTTTTTCGTCCATTCAACAGTTCGCACCTTCACAGCCGTATCAATTGAATATTTTTTCAGGTGTTTCTTCGCTTTACGCGTGAATACTACTGAGTGCATCCAGTTATTACGCGTGGTTCTGAGAGCTGCCAGGTGAACGATGATTAAAAAAAACGTTCGGTGGTGACATGCTTTGTGTTGTATTGCAAAAATGCTTTTACGAGTTACGCCAGCGGGTGCAGCCATCGCAAAGATGATGGTGCTTCTTAGATAGCCATAAAATGTGAGCAAGTTTGCTGCCGAAGCTCTACAGTCTGCACTTTTTGGGTGCGGAGCGCTTTAAAGATCCGGCTTGTGGTATGCTATCGTATGTTGTCATCGTGTGCTGTCGAAGCTTGCTCTAACTGAGGTGAAACCACGAATAGTAACGGCACCTGCTTTATACATTAGGCACGCGTTAGCGTCAAGAAAAAGTCTCCTTGCCCTTATACTTCGAGCGCCTTGACAAGTGCGCAGCTAGGGGCCCGGGCTGTTGTGTGCTGCCATAGCTTAGCGTAACGCAAGGAAAACCACATATAGGAAAGAAGAAAAGAGTAATCACGCGAGAAATTGAGAGAATTAAAATAGAAAAAATAGGAAAACAAGAGAAAGTAAGAAAAACAAAGGGAGCCGTATCTCACCACAGCAGCGAGGAGGGCGACGACGAGAAAGCACTTCTTGAACACGTGGCCCGCTTCCTTGAGTTTCTTGCAACCACCGAGACCGCAGGAAATGCCGCCGGTGATCCCCTTCTTCGATGGAGGGCAGAACGGGTCCAACATCTCGTCATCGCTGAGGCAGGACGAAGGTGAGCCGCTGGGCAGGCGGCGTCGCATAGACGACGTGGGGCCCAGCGGCGGGGCGAAACTGAGTGGAGTCTTCTCGTCGGACGACGTAGAGCAGCCGCAAGCCGCTGCCTCTGGGCTGGTGCTGTACACAAATAAAATATGAATGCCGCAATTCTTTACACAGACTCCAGGTTACAATGGAAGTAACAGCGACATAAATGCTCAAACAAACGAATCATGCATATTCTAAAAATGGGGGGTGGAGGGAGGGAAGGATCCTGATTCATTAGTTTTGAAGGCCCTGAATAATGCCCCAATAAAGCACATGGTTGCCACCTAGTTTTCTCATGCTGAGGCTTTATGAGCCGATGTAACTAATAAGTAGTCGGACAGCAGGTATGCTTAGGGTATTGGTAAACAAAGGGACGGCCTTGGTCGAATAGGAGCTCCTAACGAAAGAGCTCACCGTATAACCGAAATGTAGATGCTTGTGTGGAATGCCGAATCGACTGCATGGACGCATTGCAACATAACTACGAAACGAGCATTTCTTAAACTTCAGTAGTAAGCAACGGAACAGCATTCTGATATACGCTCGACTAGAGGTAGTGGAACAAAATGATGCGCTTCTAAGCTTGGCAGCCTGGTTTTGTAGCCACCACTGGGGCTGTAGGCCTTGGGTGTCGCTGCGGTGGCGCTGCGACTCATCTTATTGCAGTGCAGCGTGTGTTCGTGTCACGCTGGGTGAATTGACAGCAAGGTGTAGGCTTTGAGGAATGGCGTAGAGATAGTGTATCCTCACTTGTATGAAAGGGAAGGTCAGCAATATGTAGTGACGCATAGAATGACTTGTTCATGGTGAAGAACTCGCTTTAAAGGGAATATGTCCCTAATTTTGGAGACCTCTACCAGGTTTTCAATCGGGCTGCGCCACTTCTTTTAGTATACTCCTGCTTAGCATAACGAAATAGCAAGTTTGTTTTAAAAGAACGTAATCACGGCATACAACTATATGTTTTTACTCCTAATTTATTGATTTTACTGGAATCTCAAAGTCATCAATAGACGCAGGAAATCTCCCACTTAAATAGAAGAGCTCGTGCTATCGAAGGTCAAGGCAACGTACAATTATAAAATTTAACTTCTTCCTACCCTCAATCAAAAACAATTGCCATGGCACACGTTGAATCTATCGTGGTAATACCTGGCCGCGCATTTTTATGCTGCTCACAAGACGCCGGAAAAATCGGGCTCTATGGCTGCTCGTGAGCACGCAATAAACGCATAACCAAGGCAACACGGTTGTTAGTCGCTTCTCAGTCTCAACAGTATCGCTTCGAAAACCCGGGAGAGTGCCGAAATCTTTCGCACCGGTACCGTACCAAAGATGAAAAAGCTACGGAAGCATCAGGGCATCCTTCGCGGTCCCACTAACCGACCCCTTTTCGAGGGCAGCGAGATCTTTGTGCAATACAGTTCACCGTCTTCCGCCAACTTGCAGGAACTCATACGGGATTCGCGACAAGAGTCCGCCCTTGCCGAACTTGAGAAACCAATCGCCAGCACCTTTCACAGTGAGGAGCTTGACAAAGAAGTTGTGTGTTCGTGACTACTCCGAGATGATCGTGAAAGCTGCCTAGAGTTTTCGGCCCGCGATGATCGCTCGAGCACCAGTTCATTCTACCTGTAATCGACGCCTATCAGTCGAAGCGCTCAAAGACCAGTGATGAATACAGCTTCAACAAATTCATTGCACAATGCACAGTCACATAACACCGGCGAGACGCTTCACTTAACACCGTTAGACCACGCGTACCGGACCCACTAGACACTCTGCCGAAAGCTTCAGGCACCCACCTTCAGCAGCGAGAACAACGAGCTGCCGCTTTTACTGGGAAGCACACAATATGACCATTCACACGCACTCTAAGCCCTATAACATCATAACGTTCAAGCGTTACATGACAATAACTATAGGAGCGAGCCACCGAAAGAACACGCCTAGTTTAGGGTAACTTAAAACGTCAAGAGACCCAACGAAAGTTCTAGCCGAGAGGGTCTCCTCATCAACAACCACAGACGGCCTCCTTGCCAGTGAACCAATTGAGACATCCGTCACAACTATTAGGCTGCGGAATGTGTCAGAAGTTTGAACAAATCAGGTTCAGGGTTCCTTAGACAGTCATGTCATGCGGTCTGTGTAGTTAAACGCTTATTGCCGGAAGAATCAGACAATAACTTGCCGTAACAACACGAAGACCGACGACACAGATGCCAGGGGACACTGCGAGGCTGATCAACACAGGAGCAAGTAAATGCAACCGGCGAAGTTCATTCAACGTGAAGTGAAAAGCAGAGTCGAAGGCCACGTGAGAAAGCTACTTCACGGATATTATCGGCACACCGCTAGGCAACAGCCTTGCCAATACCTCATCTACCGTCCGCCGTAGCAGCTGGCAGCACAATTATTGCGACCTAACACTTTAAGGCCTGGAGACACTGTGCTGCATCTGTGGTATTTTAAAACGCATGACGTGTGATAGTGGAGTCACACCACCAAAGAGAAACGTGAGGGTGCTATAATATGTTCAGTACATCTATTGGGACGAGCCCCTTCCTTCAGATGAGAATAACTTGTAGAAGAAGAATTCCCCGAAACCTTAACCTCAGCCAGCCATTTGCATTTTACGTTGGCTGACACTGAAGTCTAAAGGTTATAGAGACGCGAGACTACATGAGTGTCCTCTAAGGCAACATTGCGAGGACACCAAAGGTGCACAGGCGCGGACGCTATCGCACCTGGCAACCAGCAAGCACGTCATACAGCTACCATACAGCACTGCCGTATGTGTGCCTGCCGCGGTTGACCTGCAAAGGCATGTAAAATATAAGGACATTTCTGCTTGGGGAAGCGAAGCAAGAAACGATGTTTGTATCTTGTGTGCTCCCATCACTGTAAGCCCCAATCTACATCCCGAATGCGCACTCGTGACTTGTTTAATGTCAGTGACGACAGCGTGTCGGCGTTGCAATGAAAATACGGCAGTGGTCAAAGGCGTTTCCTGGCAGGGTTGGTGTCAAGAAGTATTTGCAACTCGCCTACCCAAACGGCCACCAAGACCGGCGCTCGGCAAATCGGCTGTACCTAGCGGAGAGAAGCAATCACGCCGTGGCCCAGGGATGCTGTTTAATCTACTGCGGCGATACGATGGCTGCCGATGCCATGTTGCGTACAAGGCGTGCGAAAAAGCGGGATCAAGGGGGCCTGCTCATGAAAAAGCAATAAATAAAAGAGTGTTTACCCAGGGCGACGAGGGTGTAGGTCTTCTCTGTCTCAACAACACACATGGGGTTCAAGGATTGCCACCGACATACCACCAGGGCTCATATCTCAAAAGCGTTAAGTACTCGAAAGTGAACTATAGCCTTACAGGAAATCTGAAGAATGATAAAGCTTCATAAAACAAAATATTGAGTTCAATCGCGTGGGTTGAACATGGTGACCAAAAGTGCTTCGTCACTGTATTCCTTCGTTTCTAAATTGCACTGTTATTTCAATGATTTTGCAGTTTGACCAAATAAAGGTGGCTTTTACGGTGATGTTCGTAATAAACTAAATTGCAATGTTACGAACCTGACAGAAAGATCAATACTAGTCGCGGAAATGCCACACGGGACGACGAAAAAAAAACTGAATGAAAAATATAAAGCCGTTAACCGCAAAGATCGTGGTCAGTTTCCTTGCGTGAAGTGAAGCGAAACAAGGTATGCGCAGAGAAGGATGCGCATACTGCAGGTATATAGATCCTTCCACTGATAATAACGTGAACGCCACGAATGAACAACACGAACGGTATACCTCTTACTGGCTATAACTGATGGGCACATGTCCACCAGCGAACACAGCAATGGCAGAGTATGTGCAATTTCCACGCCCACCATTTGCAAAATCTGTCTTTCGCTATAACGAAGCACGCCCTGCAGCATTTTGAACTGCATCGCGCGAGCGTCGAGCTTACGAGGTGTCATCGCCCTAAAAGAGTGAAAGTCTGAGTCTGGAAGAAGTACGTGCATGCAGTTGCAAAAAACGGCGCTAGCACAAGCATCTGATCAGCGAGGCCATTTTTTTTCAGGTAGAAACACTCCCTCTTTACGTGAAAAGTGCATATGACGGTTCACATTCGTGACATCGCATTCTCGCGTTTAAAGTATAACGCAACAGCGTTAAAGAGCTCATTTCCCAGGAACTCCGGCGTCGTAGGTTGCGAGCAAAAAATCTTGTGAGTGACCAGAAGATCGAGGAAAATGCAAATAAAGTAACAGTTTATGGGTACGAATGACTATTGAACCCAGGCCGATTGCATGGCAATCAAGTTTCTAGCACACAGCCACGTTTCTGCTTAGAAATAGTTTTAATAACTTCCTTTGCCTAGAAATGGATGAAGGTAACGTTCATGCTTTAAAATCGCACGCGTCCTCTTTACAGGCTTCCCTATTGTAGGTGTAATATTGCAGTAATCTCACAATGTACAAGCGTATGTTAATATCAGGTGTTGGAACATGTGACTAGCATCACTTCGTAGTTTAAAGCCGGCCACCCATCACAAAAGGCGTAAACTTCCCAAGACCATATTCCCCATGACCACGTAGTGAGCGCATGACAAGTTCAAATAGATTTCACGCTACTAATTGCTCATAATTTGCAGCAAGCTAGCCGCTACACAGAATGCAGTCCTACGCGAAAGCTTTACTGACGCAAGCCACTTTAACTTTATTACACTGTGGTAACGGGCAAATTAAACTTTTCGAATAGCATACCATAAATAGCACGCACTGAATAGCTGAAGAACGCTCTGGAGACGGGGCATCACTATCGCGTTATACAGTAAAAGGCGACGCATAAGGGTCCCCCAATTTGTATTGCTATTTTCTTTCTACTTAACCTTGCGCAGTTTTTTGGTTGCAGCAAGAGGAAAGATGAATACAGCGCGGATTGATATAGGTCGCTGTTTTCAGTTGCACTCGTGATTTTGTTCACACTGGCATTTTTACTTCTGTTTTGATATAAAGAGGCTAGTTTGGCGCTTTGATACGGCGTAAATCGTTTTAAAAAAAGGCAGCGTGGCAGAAGAATATCGCACTATCTTCTTCGTGCGGCTGCGCAGACTGCTACAGATCCCACTGAAAATCTATTATAAGGCACTGATACTGTATGTGGTCGACGCTATGACGGTATAGATAAACAAACACTGTAAAGTTACACACTGTTGACGCGTGCGCAGTACTCTAAAGCCCTGAAGATTCATTTTGCGCGTGATTCCGCAAACTCGCAGGTCACGGTAACCGAAACTAATCAGGGAATAAAACGCGTATACAATGTTGATCCCGCTAGTTTGAAAGATGGTGCAACTGTGGACTTGTCGCGGTAACGCTGATGTTCCACCCCTATTCGGAACGTGCATGTTTGCTATGGCCACGCGGCATACGGTGACGTCGCACTGCATACACTAATTGCAAAGAAAAAAGAATGATGGAATCGCAGCATGATGAATGTAGTTCATACTACACGAGAAGGCACGCAAAAGCGGCCCTACGTCAGTTTATTATCATGCGATATCACTCATAAATACCAAGAAATGGCTTGACCTCCTAATGACGGCACGAGCATGACTACGGTGACGGGAGAAAGTAGTAGCCCGACCAAGCAAATCAAGATGAAGCAAAGGTTTTGGATTATAGGTGGTGGTGTAATTACAAACCCTGTGACCAAAGTAAAGTATCGTAGCATGTAAAACATTCAACTTCGATATAAATGCAGGCAGTATCACCTGACTCGATAGCAATCATACCACAATGTCTAAAGTGGCTGCTATGGTTTAGAATCAAACTTGCACCACCGTAGTAATTAGCAGCTCAGTGCCTTAGAGACTGGTGAACATGCAGAGGCGTAACCAGTCACTTCGAATTTAGCATCATTCTCCCATAGTAACAAAGGCACGTCTGTGGGGCTCTACAATTTTTTCCCGCCTGAAAAGAAAAAAAAAGAGCCCACCGCAATCAAAGGCCTATATGGGGTTCTTGCACAGATAAACGACGCATAGGCTGCTGAGTTGATGCGGCTTTGCGATCTCATAGCACTGTCGTCATGGGCTGTTCTACACGATGATGATGAACTGAGATTACAAGAAGTTAGAACAGTAGTGCGTCCGGATAGGTGGATACACAACAAAATATATAGTCTGGGTGGGCGGGGGCACTGCAGAAACCATTCGAGAACACAAACATCAATGAGCATAAGCTTCCTTGTTGTCCACAGTTAATCCAGAAATAGCGTAAAGCACCCGAAGGCCTTCTGTCTTTCAGGGTGTTTCTTGATTCCCTATAATAAGTCATGACAATCCGCCAAGGTGGTTCGGGGGTAGAGTTTGACTTAAGACCCGGAAGTCGCGAATCGGATTCCGACCATAGCGGCCACATTATTGGGACATTAAACCCCAACAATTATTAAGACAAGACTGACCTGTCAGCCTTGTTGACGGAACGCCTCCTTTTTTTCCTGGAATCCACTGTTGTCGCTACACTGCCGTACGTGTCCCCCGTCACGCCGTTGACGCTCAAGGGCCGGGCGATAAGGCCCCTCGTTTGCGTTGCGTTCTCTCGGTCACCGCTTACGCTGTCCAGCATGGCGAGGCTGCGACGGAGGGCCCAGAAGCAGGCGTCCGGAGAAGTTGACGATGCTGCGTGCGTGATGTTGCGTGGGTCGCTCGTGATCCCTCGCCGCGTTGATGCCATCGTACGTGCCCGGTCGCCGGCTAGTTCACTGACTACTGAAGCTGCCTGGAGAAGCCGTCCCAGGAAAGCGACACGCGAAAAAGACGCATGCGCTAACTTGTGACGTATGTGGTGATGACGTGCTTATCGCGCGCTGCAAGGTGCGAAATAATCGGAAAGCTGAGAAATGCTACTTGGTGGGTTTGATTGATAGGCGAGGTTTAATGTTCCAAAACCACCTCACGATTATAATAGATGCCACAGCGAAGGGCTTGACACGAAACATGAAAAAGAAAAACAAAAATGGAAATACTGTGTTCATTTTTGTTGCCGCGGTGACGTATTGCTTGCTAAATATTGTCTTGTCAATGGCGTAACGTATGTGTGGTTGGGTATTCATGGATAACAGTTTGACTTGAAAGATTGAAAAGTCGCACAAAGGTGGTTATTTGCGAACGCACTATCTAGCGAAGCTGACACGAATTACACATGACAACTTTACACAACAGTCGTTAAACATGGTTTATTGCATGCGGACCTTTCTTTTCAACTTTTTACGAAAGTGTTTTCAAATGAATGGTATCTTGTGACGCGAAACGCTGACAAATCAAATAAAAGAATGCCTGACAAATCTTTTTTACTTTTTTTAATTATCGTTAATTCACAATCGTGGTATAGCTATTAAGGATCCGCGTTTCTTAGCTCAAGGTGCGGACTTGAGTTCCGTTACCGGTGGCGGCATCTGGATGATTGTGGAATGATCCCTCCATCATAAGAATAGGAAAAGGTATCGTTACTGGAATTGTTGCTTGGACAGCTTCTGTTGATGTTTCCATCTTTAAGTAGCGTACACGGCCGGCCACTGGCATATTGAAGAGTTAATCAATGCCATCGCCGCACTAAAGTGAAGCTCCACGCGTGTCGTATCTCCCCTGTAACACGGCGGGAACTTTTCTCGGGGCGAACAAAAACTGGGAACGCGATGTCACAGCTAGGAGAGATAGGCGCGTGACACTGAGGTACTTTTGGTATGGGAAAATGTTACATGGGAGACTAGCACTTAATAGGAGGCACGCTGAAAAACAGTACCTGACGGAGAGTCACGACACATTTGAGTTGCTCGCACCCAGACGACCGGCCGTAGTGAACCACTGTGAGAGCCCGTGCGTGCGCCACGGCCGTTCTTCTGTTTGGAACAAACAGCTCGAAGAGTCATGGCGCCAGTAGTGCTGCGCCGTGGTTTAGAAAAACACTTGGACGATCTCCCGCTAAAGGGAATCTTGTAGAGATGCGAAGCAGCGGGCGTTAACGCTTACACTGGCGGCGACGTTGGCGCTCATCAAGCGAAACCCAATTAAAGACGCCCTTGACGGAATTCTGAACTCGCAATTCAGAGCCTACATATACCGGGGTGGCGAGTGAACAGTTGGGCGGCGCGAACAATCGGGTTACTACTAGTAGACACTGTCTTCGTCGGCCTTGCGAAACGAAAGAGGGATGGGGAGTGACAGCTTTGCGAGTGTTTCCCTGAGCCGGCACGAGACGGGAGTATGTGCATTGGGGGTGTACGGAGGAACAGCGTTACACAGGCTAGTCAAATAGCTATTTTTCATCTAAAAGCATTCGAAAACGGAAAGGAACCTCTGCATAGCGGACTATGTCTAAGCATTTGGAATTGAAGGGGCAGTGCTGTGCCGCGATGGCGACTGCCACGTCGACATATGTTGATTGCGTGCTGGGTTTTGCTATAAGCTAGAATAGAGTAACATACGCCCATTGATAAGTCTGTGCTGCGACACTACATTGCCCTACTTCTGTATTGACCACAAAGAAAAAAAACAGGAAGTGGTGGCTGTGTCGATTCTTTTTTCTGGCGTCTTATGTGCGCCCTGTGCGAGGCATGTATGTCGGCGGGTTGGTCATTCAAAGCACCACGGCACCATAGCACGAGTGGTGTCATCCACACGTGGTATGGTGCACGTGTGGATGACACCACACGTGCTTTGGTGCCATGCTTGTGGTCACGGGATGGATTCCCGGCTATACGAGCCGCCATGTTTCAATGAAAGCAAAATACAAATACACACGTGAACTGAGATTTATGTGCACATTGACGAACCCCAAGCTGTCACAATTAGTCGAAAAAAAGCATGCTATGTATGGTTACTCCTTCATCTGGTCTCTCGTTTTTTGTTCTGTTTGTTTTTTCAACTATGTCGTACCTGCACGCCCAAGCAACCACTTAAGCTGCACAATTAGTCCTGATGCCCACACTGCAGCGTGCCTGAATATATTATCTTGTTGGGCACATGAAAGTGCAGGAATTGTCGATGCTGAGCATACACTTTTATTTTAGGCCGACACAAGCAAGCGGAAAAAAACTGAAGCTGTAGGTTGATGATACGTGAGATTTAACTTTTAAAAACCACCACATGATTATGAGAGGCGCAGTAGTGAAGGGCTACAGAAATTTCGACCACCTGGAATTCTTCAACGTGCACCCGAATCTGAGCACACGGTCTAACAGCATTTATGCCTCCATTGAAAATGCAACTGCCACAGCCGGGATTCGATCCTACGAGCTGCGGGTGAGCAGACGAGTACCTTAGCCACTAGACTACCGCGGTGGGGTGAAACTGTGCTAGACGAACAAACGACGAGTGAAAATTGAATACATTCGATACCTCTCAAGCAAGGCATAAAGTCCGCTCATTTAGTTAGCCACGGTAGCCAGTGCGAAAAAAGCTTACCGCTTCGGCTGGCTCCAGAAAGCTAAGCTTCGAGTAGTCTTCTGCTTTATCGGTAAAAAAGAACCATGTTTTTAACACAAAGTAAGGTAATTAAACAGATGCTTCTGAGCATCAAGTATTCATCGCGAGCGTATTTTGTTAGCTTTTCAGCGGCTTAGGTGAACGTGCCCCCGAGCAAACCTTGTGGACACGAACGCTTTTTTTCTACGCAAGTGTTGGCCAATAATGTGAACTGCGTACTTGTCGTATCACTCACTTCCCGGGAGGGCGGGGTGGGGTATCACAGAGAGTTTGGTGGTGGTGTTCAGATAAAAATGGTTATGTGTGCCGTATGTTGCATATTACGCTCATTTCATTTGTGGTAATGTGCCGTATAAATTCGGCTGTTCGTATGAATGTGCCGTATGAATTCGTCCTGGCTTCCACTTGTGGCCTATCGCACAAATCTAACAGAGACGCGCGATTCGGTTTAGAAACCAGTCCGAAAGGAGAGCGAGAGCGAAACACGCTTTGCTCGCCTCACCGCTTGGATGCAATGCCACCTCCTTTCTGACTGATATATTGTGGCACTTGAATACCAACAGTACCAACAGTGCCCTTCAGTTTAGTTTTTGCGATATGCGCCCATACCACCTCTACCAGCCGCCACTCTCATCTGCGGGGGCGGCTGAAAAGTGCGCGCTTTGACCGCCACAGTGGCGCTGCCCGCATCATGAAAGCTCCATTGCTGGTTCCCTATGAGCCCGGCCGATGCTTGGGCGAAGGTTGCCACCTTGCGATCTCTTTAGGCGTTGACAAAATCGCGCGTCTAATACTGAAAACGGGCCAAATGGCATGGATGTGTGAAGGTGACTCGCTGTAGATGCTGATCGTGCACGCGACGGTCCCGATACAGTAATGCCACTCGCAGTGGGTGACACCGCCAGACTGAAGTAGAGAACTTTGAGAAAAAAATGTTATAGGAAAGCAGCACTTCTATATCACCGATGCCGATTAACCTAGGCGTAAATTGTTGTCGCAGACTCCCCGGAAATCATTGTCGCAGACCGATTGGTCAGCAGCTCGACCATCGTTGGCACACTTATATTTTTTTCGTTTCTGTCAGACTGCGTGTGTACTTTTCGACGTCATTTTATGACGGAAGTACGTCATTGAAGTCCTAGTGAACCCTGCCATCACAGACTCTCATCTTTAAAAAAAGAAACTGTCTACTAAGGTATAGGTGTACTTTACCTACGCGTTTCCAAATGAGTCCCCGCACTCCCTCACTGCGGCACGCCCTCATTTGTATCATGGTTCTGCTGCCTACTCCGCCACAGCGGTGGTACAAAGAATGTGGTGATCGACTGCGGAGGGCTCTACTGCTGAAGGTCGCTGCTTTATCCCGTACATGGTGATCGCGTTGGCGCGATGGCGTAGTCCTAGAGGCCCGTGTACAGTTTCTGTCGGCGTGTTATTGAAAACTAAAGGGAGGAAATTTGTGGAGCTTTCGGCATAGCCAGTTTTGGGCAAGTAAAACCACCGACAATGCTATTCTGGTGCATTGAATGAATATTCATATAATTCTGGTGGTGGTACGGAATGGCTTCCCCACCTACGATAGCCCGAAGCATGCAGGGGCGGGATGGCAATATGTACTTCATACTTTTCGCTGACCAACCTGTATAGTTCCTGCTTAAAAAGCACACCTATGGCCGCACATGTTTCAACGATAAGGGTGGGTGAAGACCCCAGATGTTCCAAACAAAAACCCGTTTGTTTCTCATCTTCCCTCCTGAAATGACACGGATTAAAGAAATAAAACTGTGAGAAGCATGTAACGGCTTTCATTTTCAATTTCTTTTTCATTCATTGTGAAGCCTGTTGTCTATTGGTCACGACAAACGGAGTCCAGAAGGTGACGTTGCGATAAAAATTTGTCACCCCTCTCAGTAACTGGTAACCCTGCGCACGCCTATATATTTCACTTCAAGTGCGTTAACGAAGTAGTAATGTGACCACTCAGGGAAGAATTTGTCTGTGGCTGGCTTCTTTGTGTATAATGTATAGGCCCCGAGTATGAAGCAGTAGGCACTGTAGTGAAGTATGCAGCGCATGCTCTTTCGTGGTTACGTAAAGAAAGTGTTTCAGCTCCCGCCAAAACTCTATAGTGGCCTCGTAGTAGCAAAACTATCAAACCTGTGTAGTTGTTGTATACACGAACTTCACAAGATGTCCATGGCTTGAAATCACGTGATTCACTACATAGCCAAAGCAACTACGGAGAAGTAACTTTCGCAGCGAAAACT